AAAGCAGCGCTGTACCTCTTATCGATCAAGTGAAGACGCAGAGCTGTATGGACAAAAATTCACAAAAAGACCAATATTTACATACGGTGAGGTGGGACGCCCAAAAGTAGGATATATTAGTGACATTAAGTGGGATTGCAGCGGCCGCTGTGGGAACTCGTGATCGCTGACTCATCACGCCAAGGTTGCAGTCGCGGTGACTGCCCTTAACACGCGCTCTTGTGTGAACGGCCGCACCCAGTCCACCTCTCGCTCAATGTCGGGCGCGACTTACTAATACGCTTAGTCTCGGTGGCGCCCAAGCCGGTGCGTAACCTCGCGAGGTCCAACCAATCACCTTCAACGCTGCATAAGACAAAGACAGCTTTCGGTGGCAGCTCGGATTACTGCCGTTAGACATCACTTCGGACACTGTCCCGCTCGGGTGCAGTTCAGGATTCGTCCGAATCAAATCTCCTCCTACTTATTTTTCCAATCCATCTGTACAGAATATATGTTTCCTACTACTCTGGCCTTTCTATGACTTCTCTCTTCTCCTAAGGAACCGGGCCTGGAAGATCGCAGCCGTTAGGGTTAACCTTATTAGCCTTAACACTATGCGATAGGATAACAATGTACCACTGTAAAGCAAACCATCGTATATGTAAGGGTTTATTTTCAAACGCCTCTTCATGTGGCTTCAGCCGACGAAAGAAATGGAAGATCATTGCGTACAAGTTGATACAAGGGAAAATGCGAGTCCCAGAAAGTAAATGAGAAGAAGTAGACACCATTGCTAACACAAGAACTTTATTCGGAATCCGAAACGCCAGATGAATAAAGTTCTTGCTGCAGCGATCGCGTCTTGTTCTTCTCAGTCAATGCGTGCATTAGCCTATTTTAACAATTTAACTAAATACCCCACTGTTAAGTCACCCGCGGCCTCGGTGGAGTTCGAAGCCTCGATGGGAAGGGTACAGTTTCAGTAGAGTCGACGCTTTAGTCCGGTGAGTCACAGGGCCCCCACTGAGAGTCATGAGTTTAACCATATGTTCGGTCAAGTTACCAGCCTAACTTACTGTATGTTACGGAATCCAATAAATCAGATACAACAGAACGACTGTCCAAGCGGATTTTCGGTCTAGAGTTCACGAGATAATCACCAGACAAGTCTAACTAATTTGTTTTGGCA